TTGTCCGCGGCCACAGTCGCCTCAGTCAGTGCAACTGTGCAGTAAGCACCAGCAGATGCAGTCAACCACTCGGAATTGGCCGAGGTGCTCACCGTGCAGGGGCAGACTTGTCCCTTGACACTCCGAGAGAATGCTTGGAGTGGCCTGCATGGTTTGCAGCGCGCCAATGCCTTTTTGTGTCGGAGGTAAGAACAGCAGATAACTGGTAAATTCTCCAGAATTCAAGGCCCGAGTCGACAGTTAGACATTCTTTCAAGTCTCACCGGTTTCACTTTAGAGTACAGTGCGAAACTCTGCTAGTTTGTTTCGGGGGAGGTGGGTGTTGGTTCTGTTTTGGGGGTTTGGTTTTGGTTTTGTTGCTTTTGTTTTGGTTTGGGTTTTTGTTGTTTCCCTCACAAACTTGCAGAGTCTCCATCCTTAACATGATGACCTGTGCACACCGCACACATGGCGTCCGAACTCGTGAAAAAATGCCTACTCTGTATCGGCATCAGATACGACATGAATTGTGGAGCTGTCAGCCCTCTCATAGAAAAATGACTAAACGACCAAATGACGTGATGGCGACGTACTGAGTGCAAAGGCTGAATTCATTGCCCCATGTTTCACCTTTCTTTTCCGATTCGAGTTACGAACCTGGCCTTGTTTTTGGGGTTTTGGTTTGTGGGTTTGTGTTTTGGGTTTTTTGCTTGTGTTTTCCCTTGTCCGTGTTGTTTGGCCTCATAGTTCGTAACTCTCTCTTTACTAGCTTAAGGTGACTTGTGCATCCTCCGCACACATAGCGCCTCGACCCGTGCAAAAAAAAATGTGGAGCTGTCAGCCCAGACAAGGTCCGAGCCTGGTGCATTCAGCAATGGCTCTTGGCGCCAGGCATGGTAGAAGTAGATTTTGTGTAGCGCCTCAAAACAGCAGTCCTGTGCCTTTTTCCCTTGAGCTGCACTTTGCGTAGGCTGGTATCGCTGGGAGCATCCTACGCTGAACCTTCGTCCAGGGTCTTGCTGTTGTGGAGCAACCTCCACGTTCCTGTCTGCCTACTGTCTGGCAGGACAATCCACTCCGGGTGCGGGCTAGCGTCTAGGGCATACCCAAACAGGAGACCACTATTCAAGTTATTCCCAAAAAATAATGGGGCCCGTCCGGCATGTATGTGGTTTCTGTGTCAAGCAGGAGAGACCTGGTTGCAAGGACGAGGCGTAAGCGTCTCACCCTCCCTTCACGGTGCTCTGCCAAACACACTGGCAGCGGGCCAGTCCAGGGTTCATGCGGCATTAGCGCAGCCTGAAAAGCTGCTGTGGCATCGCTAACCTGAATTGCATTTAGCTCTAGGGCGACTTCGCATACAACTCAAGCGAGTCATTAGTGTGTATGGTATGCGCTCCATGCAGGAGGGTCGCAATCACTTGCAATGCACCAGGGATGCCATGCATGTTTACTGGACATGCCAGTATCGTGAGGTCTGTAGCACGGCTGTAAGCAACATTGGCACGAGTGTAACATTCCGAGTCGAAGTCAGCATTCCTACCATGGCCACTGAGGAAGGCCGTGCGCCCGTGCATTACTATGCAGCGCCGTGCAGTTGCTCCCGCAACCTTGACCGCTGTCTCTGCATTAGCCTGCTTTCCTTCGTCATGGAAGTGACCTTGTAGTGCTGTGGCACTAGTAGGCGTGGTAGTGAGGACTAGCACTGCATCACAATGAAGAATATACTTGCAAGAAGTTTCAACGCACCCCACAAGCTTTTGCAATATTCATTTCCCACATGAACCTTTACAAGGCAAACAGAGCCTTCTTATGGCTATGCGTGTGCTATTTACCAATTTGCAGCCCACTTGCTCGTAGGTCTGCCTGTTTTATGAAAGATGGCCAAACCAGACCATAGAAGACAGAGACTGGGTTGCCCATGGAGAAACTGAACAGTTTTGGCGAGTGGTCCGGTGGTCCAGTGGATGGGAAGACTGGGTGAGGAACAACAGCTGCAACTTCACAGATGCCTACACCATCCAGCTCTGCTTCGGGTCGAGGTTTCGCCTGAGCAAAGACCATGAATCGAGGTGAAAAAACATCTAGATGTTCACATGGTAACCAGCTGCATGTCTCACACCGTGACTTCTTCCTGACAACTCCTGTGTGGACGTCGTTCTGCGGAAGCACAACAAGGCGGTTACTAGACATCAACTATCTTTTCTGTGTACAAAGGCTAGTCGCGAGCTGAACAGCCAGGGTACGCTGAAACATATGCTGTGCCTGCTGTGTGTCACCTCGTGCTACTTTGTCACGTTTTTCTTTGAGACAACAACAGTGGTACACTGACTAGTATAGTGGTTGGTTACCTACATCCTAGAGAAGCTGTGTCATAGAGTGCAGGAAACGTTACGTCTGATCGTATATCGATGGACGCATCTCCTCTGACAGGTCACTGCATCGAGAAACTTGTTGCGTGGCTGCCTCAGCAATTTTCTATTTTCATTCCAGCTCACTTTTTTCAGTGACATTTCCTGCAGCCGTGCACGCTGCTTCTCCCCTTACCAGCAGCTCAAATGCTCACGACGATGAGCTGGGCTGTCACCGCTTGGCCGCCGGTGGGGGTTTGGGAGGCCTGCGCGCTACTTCGTTCACCATAATACTGGTCGCGAGCCGAACAGACATCTGCAGCGCCTGCTGTGTGTCACCTCATGCTACTTTGTCACGTTTTTCTTTGAGACAGTCAAGTAGTCAATGACAAGCATAGTGGTTGGTTAACTACATCCTCGAAAAGCTGTGTCCTGGAGTGAAGGAAACGTTACCTCTGATCGTACATCGATGGACGCATCTCCTCTGACAGGTCACTGCTTCGACAAAATTGTTGCGTACCTGCCTCAGCAATTTTCTGTGTTCATTCGAGCTCGCTTTTTTCAGTGACATTTCCTGGAGGCGTCCACGCTGCTTCTCCCCTTACCAACAGCTCAAATGCTCACGACGGTGAGCTGGGCTGTCACCGCTTGGCCGCCGGTGGGGGGTTTGGGACGCCTGCGCGCTACTTCGTTCACTATATCTACAGTGAAGACCTTCACCAGCAGCAGACATAGACACACACACACACAGACAGGGACTCATACGCACACATCAGACACAGAGACCCACGCACTGCCTCAACTTACTCGACTTAACACTTCACACAGAACACTTAACAGATAACTCACACTCTGACTTCCTACGTGATGAAAAATGTTTTCGGGCCACTCGTCGTCTAGTTTGTTTTTGACATCCCTTTTTGTTTTTCACTTGATCTCACCCTTGACTTGCAACAGAAATTGGCGTCCCATTTCACGGAACTTGTGCCCACACTATGCTAATGATTGACCCACAACATTGTTGGCAGATGCACTGCCCCAAGTGATGCCTAAATACGTGAAAGGTTTTGATCCGCCAAATTGGAGCCAAACCGATTGTGGTTTGAAATTTGACACCTTCAATTTGAAGTCTTGGTTTCTTCGAGGCCACCACTTCGTTGTCCTGGAAAATTTTGTTTTTGTCAGTTGATGGGCGTGTGATTGGCACGGAAACGCATCGGTTCCGCACTGGACTTACTTCTGATCGATCCGAGAGCTACCGACTGACTAGGGTGTTTTGCGGAAACAACATTTTCAAGGGGTCGTCTCTGGATCGTATGGGTTTGTAGATTGAGAGTTTTGCACATCAAATTGTTGGCGTGCGTTCGATTTTTGTGTAGCAGTGTAGAACCATATGGGAATGTGCCTGTCGCAGCTTTCCTTTGGCTGGACGAAACAATGCTAAACTTGAAGTGAATCAAACATGGCAATCTTGTAAGAATTTCCACTGTTGCAAGCAACGCTGAACAGCAGGTGCTGTTTGAATGAGCCCTCTACTACTTTGATTGGATTTTCTGCCAAACCATGCCGTGTCAAAAGAACATGTCACAGCATCACCACAGGTTTGATTCATATATCTCGTGTAGAAAACAGTGACATATTCTGACGAAGCAACCGAACCACTTGAGAAACGCACGGGTTCGCAGACAAGAAACGCGGAGGCTGGTATGTTCGAGATGAGATGAGTTGGAAGGTTGGTTGGGGTGAGCCTCTCCTCGCAGAGGAAGCGATTGCTTCGCTTTGCCACCGGCGTTTAGATCCTTTGAGCTTGGTGCACTTTCAAGAAGTGTTGACAACTCGATGGCAAGATGCACATCCACGTCGAACGCATGCTTCGCATGCTCCAAGTTTTCCGCGACACAGTGTCCGCCAGTCATCAAGCATGGCTTCGCCCACTCAAACCAGTGGGCCTGTGAAGCAGGGTGCGCCTTCATTGCCGAAGATTGAGAAACCCGCGACAAGGAGTCTTCCACAATTGGATGATGCACCACATCATTCTTGGGGATATTTACCCAGCAAGTCTCGGGATGTGAGTGTGGCTTCGCTGGACCCCATTTCACCATCTCGTCCGTCTTCAAAATTTGGTGCTACTATGAGGAATTCTTCTTCCTTGTCGCATTGGTCAGAAACTGATCGACTGCGGCATACTATGCGGCATGCCACAGATGTGCGTGTACCTTCTCGTCGTTCAAGGCAAGGTTCTAAAACTTCGAACAAATCAAGCCGAGGGGGTCATTCACTTGATCCAATTTGACCCACTGACTTTGTTGATAACTTGTGGAGTCAGGCTTACCAGTAGCTAGTGTTTCACTTTCAGGCACCGCTCACGCGTGCTGGAAAAGCATTTCTGACTCATCCCACAGCGTGCATTTCTCATGGTCGGTCCAGCGCAGGGCACAGATGAACAGTTCTGCTGAGGCTTCCCGGTTTGTTCACTACTGCAGCTCGTTTAGAGCCTGAGACAATTGGAGGTTGTTAGCTTGTGACAACGGGCAATTGGCATATTGTATCAAGTTTGCAACTACCGCAGCACAGAACTTGTCGTGTTACAAACTCGTTAATGGACAAACTGAAGAACACTTGCCAAGTTGTAGCTCGACTAGAACATGAAATCAACTGGCATGTTTATGGTATTGCTCAACAGTCTTTTTAGATCGCCATGAAGAAGTATGGAGAGCCAAGACAGCCAGGACCTGCTGTGCACTGTGCACCTCGGGTGTCGTAGCGCTGCAGAACATGCAAAGCATCAGACCCTCAGAGAGCAATGTATTGGTATACAACCAGTTGTATCTGAAGCATGCCGTCTTCGGGCACCCTGTTCCAGCTTCAGTGGAAGACTTGTGGAGTGCTGCAAAAAGAGGGGACCGCGTTGCTGGAAGGTCAGCCCTGGCACATGTAGACTCGACCATCGATCTCAAGCGTCATATAGTGGTGCCCAACCAGAAGAAACTTCCAAGACTTTTTGGATGAGGAGATGAAGACCTTTTACTATAGACACTACCAACATCCACCAACTATAAATAGGACAAGACTTTGAACATTTGGTGACCCCAACTATGAAGACGTTTCTATACTTTTTCCATTTTTGGGGTCACCAGAGTCCCCTAAACGAAAGACGTTTTCACACTTTCGCGAAACGACGTTGGTCGTTCGTTCCAGGACGAGGACCTGCGCGCCTTGGAGGAGCTTCCCTGGTCCGCTGCTGGCCGTTCCCGCGGGCGACAGGCGGGTGAGGGCGTCTCGGGTCCATGCTGGAAGCCTCCAACCTACTAGCGATGGCCAGCCTACCTAGTGGCATGTCTCGCTCCATGTTTGCCTATTTTTTCGGGTAGAGGACCGGAGTCGGTGTTGTGTTTTGGATGTGCCACCACTAGAGCTGTACTCACAAACGACGGGCCTCGGACAAACTGTTCTCGTGTGCGTCTCGAATGGCAGGAGGATGCCGGAAAAGGAAAGAAGGGCCCTAAGGGCCACGGCTGCTTGGATGGGCTTTTGAAAAGTTCCATTGGAGTTGGGTGCACCAAGAAAGGGAAGCCCTGGATGGGATGAAGCAAGCTCAACTCCATGAAACTTCAGCACTTGGTTGCTCAAGTTCGTTTTCCTTTTCGTTGGAGTGCTGCACGGTGGGAACTTGTGCACGTTGGTTTTATCAAGAACAGCTTCGCGTGCGCTTCGGTCTGCCGTGGCCAGTGGGAGCGGGCCTCAGGCAAGAAGGGCCAAGCAAAGGGCAAAGGCAAGACGGGGAAGGCAGGGAAGTCGGTGGTGGCAAAGAGTTACCAGTCTGACCCGTCTGAAACTCCAGCACTCCCAATTTTTTTTCCTTTTCGCAGATGTCACAAGCTGGCGCAGTGGCTGGCGTGAAGCCTTTTTCGGGACACTGGATTTTCTTTGGCGAAATGGACCCTTCGCTTCAGACACTGCGACACATCAAATGGCCTATTCGGAAGCGGCTTGAAAAGGCAGCATAGTGTACAAAGCCACGCAGCGACGCAACTCTCCATCCTGACAGTGGGGCTGACAACTTTTAGAATTTTTTGCAACGCTTCTTCCGGTCATTCTCGATTGTTTCATCAAAAACGAACATGGCATAGAGCGTTTCCTGGCGAAGCAAATCCTTCAGCCTCAAAGCTTCTGATTTCCTCGAGCAAGCCATGTAGTTGGGATCAAGTCGGATCTCGCGGAGAAGTTTGCCAAACGACATTGCACTGAAGATCCAAGATCACTGTAGGTGGCACGCTCACTGTAGGCTCTGAGCCTCAAAGTTCGGGCTCACGCACACGTCCTAGCAGCAACGAAGCTGTTCTTGTTTTATCGAGTGGATCCAGGGAATCAAGGTGCTCGTGCGTGTGGAGCACATTTGATCACACGCCGCGAGGTTGTAAGTTTTCTTCGCCCTGCGGCGCCGTTGGAGCTTTGATGGTGTGGCAACCATGCGCACATCCGAAGCCTAGTGACCTAGCTTTTAACATGCAATCGTCAACCATGACCCGACGCTTGGTGCGTGCTCCTGGCAAGCAAGCAAACCCAAACTCACAGGCTACTGCTCTTTCAGGGAAGAACATGACGCCCGCTGCTTGTTCGGCACCTTTGTTTGGCCGACCAGAAGGTTCAAAGAGCTGGCCCTGGCAAAGCTCCCAGCAACTGACTGGTGCTTAGTATCTTTCCAACTGCACGAAGGCTAACACGCTTGCGACGATCACACAACAGGTGGATGGTCTTGTAACGTATCATTGCTTGGAATAGACTGACTAGCATTTCAAGTAAACTGACTTGTTGGGATTGGCAGTCAAGTCAACCGCTGAGTCAGGCTGGTGCTTGGGCGAAGGATTTGGAGGTGGCAAAGCAGTGTAGCTGCAGTAAAAAGAGAACATATGACATATGTATGTTTCGGTGCGGACCGCGGACGCTGTTTTTGGGGCTTGGGTGTCTGAGTCCATTTGGCGCAAGGACGAGCATGTTCGCAGCATCGTCCAGGCCCGCCTGGTGCCCGTTGGCGTCCTTTTCACTCCATTATAGTTGGTGTGGATGATGCGTAGCTACCCTTTCCTCCCACGGAAGTGGACTAAGTGGATACACTAAGCCCATTGGAAGACGATGTTCGCTTACATTCCTTTACCATGGAGGGGTTGTCCACGAAACCATGTCTTGCTGCTCCACTTGCAGAGCAAGTGCACACTCCAAGGTTTCGCTGCTTCCTGCCAGGACCTGCCTGCGGAAGCCGCCGGGCGGCGGAGGCGGCAGCAAAGCGACCTGCTGATGTCAGAGGCGTGGGAGGTTTGTCAGGTTGTGGAGGCAACTTTGCCAAGGCGTTCACCCCAATGAGCATGGATTGGAAGGTCTTTCGAGGACAATCTGGGAGACAGGTCAGCCGCTGGATGCCAGAATCAGCTACAATAAATACGCTTTGATGCAACATGATGCAATGACAAAAAGCCTTGCAGAACTGGCTACAGCATAGAGGCTCCACCAGCATACTGGATGCAGTCCACCCAAGCATAGAGCCTCAACATGGCGACTTCCACATGGCGATCATACGACATACGGCGTTGTGCCTCCGCTCCCGACACGGTTCCGAATGGATGGGAGGGTTCCATAACACATCTCGGGTTCGGACTTAGGGCCCTTGACCGAGTTCGATATAACAGGGGAGAAAAGGTGCGCTGACAGCGGCACTTGTCATCAGTTGACACCTTTTTGGGAGATAGATACTGTAGATAGATAGATAGAAAGGAAAGAAAGAAAGGAAAGGGTGTGTAGTTGGACCAACGAGATCCCCACACAATGGGTAGACTGTAGACAGGTCTATTTCCCATTTTCCAGAGGGTCTTTGGGGGGTCTCCCTATATTTTAATACACACCGACATGAAGACAATATTTTACAATCCAAACAGAGTCTACATTAGGGGGTTTCGTAAGCATCATCCCGTGTCACACAATAATTTGCTGTGTGGAAACGACTTGGCTCTAGGCAGCTGCAGGGCGAGCTTTCCTCCAGGCTTCGTTCTTAAAGCCGTTCCTGAAAGCAGTGAGCACTCGACATTCGAGACAATACTCTGACCTCAGATTGCAGATCGACAGCCACGGTACTTGGTAAACATTTTTCTTCCCCCCTTCTTCCCCTTGGTTCTCTGTTAGTTCTCTGGGTTCTGAGCTGCGTGAATTTTGGAGTTGGGACTGAGCTGCGTGTGACCCAGGCCTTGGAGGAATCTTTGCTGAAACATGCAGAGATGGAAAGACGACGGGGGGAACTGGTGGACAGGGCCAGGTCCTTGATCAAGATAAAAGAGACGGTTCCAGGCTGATTTGGTGAGTTCTAAAAGGCAGACGTGAGGTCTGCTTGCAGACAGTGGTGGACTTGAGGCTCAACGAAGGCATGAGAGGCTGTCGCTCCTGGCAGAAGAGGCGCAGTGCGTTTTTGGTTGTTGTTTCTGAGAAAAGAATTATATACTCAATCCTGGATCAGATCCAAGACACAAAGAGACCTTCACACGTTAGGTTGTCCATTGTTTGGGGGTTCCAGCCAGACTCTAGACGAAGCAATGCATTCACAGTGACCTATTGTTGATTGGTCAAGGCGAGGGTGATGCTGATGGAACTGAGACAGCCAGCTGGAAACTTGGTGATGTACAAACGCTTCATATTCAGGTCGATGCATGATCTGGTGTGCTGGCGCCATTTGAGGTTCTGCTTGCAACACCACGAATCTCCTCACCTCAGAGAAGGGTCTCTGCCTCGCAGGGCCAAGGCCAAGGCCTCCTTCGAGTCGAGAAATCACACTTTGTGCGCACAAAGTGGTCGTTGTCGTCGAAGGTGCGGGCGGCCTTCTGGAACTTGCAGGCCAGCCTTTGCTCTTTTTTTTGGGGGGGGTGTCGAACCTCGCGTCACCTCGCGTCATGCGTTTTCTCAGCAGATTGGGATTTTGGGGTGTTTCCAAGCCCGCCCAAGCCCGCCCCAGCCCGTGGGAAACCCCCGGCTTCCGACCCTCTCCGGAACGCGTTCCGGTTCCGGTTCCGAGGCTTTCCGGTGCTGGGTCCGATGGACCCACCCGACTGGCCCAGCCCGGCGCGCTCGTCCTCGCCGGTGCGACGCTCCGCGATGATCGTTGCTCGGCCGTTTTTCTCGCGCCCGCGTGGAGAAATGGGGGGAAATCCCGGTGGAGAACAACATGAAGATGGGGTCATGATGGGTCATGCATCCGTGGGTCAGAACCACAGGACCAAGTCAGGAAGTATGAATGAAGCAGCAAGATTGACGAAGTCGCCTTATATGGATCAAGTCAGAAGTGTTATTCACACTCTATCATCGGTTCCCCCAGCACCCATGGCTCAGGGGGCGCCTGAATCGCCTCAGGATGAGGGGAGCTCGGAATCCCGCTCCTTGTCTCCGCCTCCTGCGGCCTCGGCACTGTCGTTTTGGTCCACCTGCTTTCGTGCCTGGACCTTAGTTCGCAGCCTCTGCTTGTGCGGAAGGCGAAGAGAAGACGCATGACATGGGAGGCGAGTACGTGGAGGGGCGCATCCTGTAGGGGCGCTAAACGATGTATTTGGTTCAATCCTTATGTGAAAGATGCACTTCCTTGGACCACCGATTTTGGAGCAGATTTCCAACGCATGGTTTCGATTCAGCTCACAAAGTCTGGTGAGAGTGAGGATGAAATCAACCAGGCTTCAAATTTTGATTTGTTTTTTCTTAATAGCGATGGCCTCCAACCTAATGGTCATGAGTCATGGCCCCCAACCTAATAGAAATGGCGTTCAACCTACTAGCGATGGCCTCCACCATAGTGGCGATGGCTTCCACCCTATTTAGATTTGCCTGAAGCCTTTATATAATTGAAGAGTGCTGGAGGACCTGCACGAAGCAAAGATTTCAGTTTATTTCAGATCTAAAATTGGTACGAAGCATCAGCAGCATTTGAGCAGCATCTGACATCGGGGTGTGGAACAAGGGAGGCCCGCGAAGAGAAGGAAGAATCAACAGGAATCAACCGAGGTCCATTGGTTGGAGTTCAAACGGGTCTCCCGGACTCCCTATTAATATTCTATATACTACACATAATACACACGCCATTTTAATCCCAATATGTATTTTTCTCCGGAAGCACTTCTCTTTGGGGCAGATTGGGTCTGATCACGTTCCCGACCCCGGAACGCCGGGAACGTCGGGATGCGGTGAAATCGAGGAGACAAGCCCACCTTTTTGCACCCACACGACGATCTTAAAACAGTAACAAAAGGCTTCTAGGTTAGAGGCCATCACTAGGTTGGAGGCCTCTAGTAGCAAGAAGCTTAGACCGTAATGTCAACGTCGTATTAATCAACGCCCCCCCCCCTAGAAGGTCAACAAGGTCAACATGGTCTGAGATTGGAGGTTTTGGAGATCACATCCCCCTAATAGTGGGATGACCTGATGATGACAGGAGGAGGAGATGAGATGGGATGGAATGATGAGATCCATGAGAGCCCAAATACTAATTCCCTTTCATCATGAGATCCATGAGAGCCCAAATACTAATTCCCTTTCATCATGAGATCCAT